ATATATATATATATATATAGTAATTTAAGATCAAGTTTCAACGATAAACGAACTACACTAATAAAATTTTAATATAAACTGTTATTGAACTACAAAAGAATCTAAGGCTTTTATATTATTTAATGTTTATATTTTAACTTTTAATGAAATGATGATTAAGATTTTAAATTATTTTTTTGGAAAGAAATTTATCTAACAAGTTATTTATTTTGGGGATTCTTCATTGGTTAATTAAAGAGGAGTGTACTTACATTAAAAAAGACTATATTTTTATAAAAGTTTAGTTAAATTAATAAGAATATAAGGATGAAGTTTGAATGTTTTATAATTAAAAAATATTCATTGTTATTTTAAAGTAATTAATATACATGTAGCGTGTTATGTTGCATTGTAATTAAAATTGATAAGAAGCAGTTTAGAATGTTTTAGTTATTAATATAAATTAAACTGAAATATCCTGTACAACTACTGCATTTACGGTATTATTGAACGAACGGATTATCGAACAAAGGTTGCAATTTCAATGTAAAGATGCGACTGTTATGTCGAACGTCCTTTGTCTGATCAATAAGAACAAAAGAGCTTGATTCAATTATAATTTTAAACTATTCTTACACAGAATTTTTCTGGCTTTATTTGTTTTCTTCTCTAAAAAAAATAAATATCAAAGTAATAAAGTAAATCGTTTTAGTTAAACGTATTATGCGTTCAATCTCTATATAGGTCTAACCTAGTGTGAAGGTTATTATAGAAAGGAAAAGTTAAAAGGAGGAGAATTAGTTTCTAAAATTTTCATATTTTCTAATTATCCAATTGATTTATTCTTTCTCTGAAATATTTTAAAATAAAATCGATTTAAAACCGCAAAGAATTTAGATCCAAATTAACATTTAAATTTATCTTACTAAATAATTTAGTATTAAAAATTTTTTTTAAATTTAATTTTATAACGAAAACGATTTTTAATAATAATAAACAATTATTAAACGCCATATGACTTAGGAAAATAAAAACTTATCAATATTATTGAAGAATCTCTTTGTAGTGATGTTCAATCAGCATAAGGGTTCTTTATGGACACTAGATGAGATGAAAGCTAATAAATCAACCGATAAATCTCTGTTGACATGATGAAGTTAAAATTGGTAATGCGAACTTAAAGTAGACAATTATTTTCTCGAAATGATTTAATAAAAATTGAAATATGTTTACCAATTCACGCAAAATGAATATTATAAAATAAGTTATAAAAAATTAAAGTGATTAACTTTTTAATATACAGGATAGATAAATACATATAAATAAATATGTTTGTGTTATGTAAATACATAAATATATAAATATATGTAAATAAATATATTCGTTATATTTGACTGGTTGCATTAACTTTATAATATTAATATTGTCAAATATATTATTATCATTATGTACACATATATAAAGGTTTAATAATATAATATTTATAGTTTTATATACAATTCTCAAATTTAAGTTTTAGAATTAGGCCTGTTTGAAAATAAGCTATTTATTAATTGAAAATTATTAATTAATAATATTTCTTATATAAATCTGTATATTTTATATTTACAGATAAAAAGTGTTAAGCTAGTACAATAGTTGCAATTTTTTATGGTTCAAAATTGAAAACAATTTGCTATTAGATTAGTTTAAACTCTTTCCTCATTTTATTCAAATACCAAGTATTTGCATTGTGTTTTAAATATTTAACGAATTTATATGTACACAGCAAGATTCTCAAAAAGGACTGCTTGTCCTTCTGCTAAAAACATCGAAGATTCATATGAAAATTTAACCGCAATCGATTCAAAAATAACATTATTTTTAAATTAATTACTTAGTCAACTACATAAATTGTATAATGCAAATAGTCGATCTTTTTTAAAATTTATATTAATCTTACGTTTAACTTTCTAAATTAATTTTAACTGTAAGATCAAATTTACATTTTAAATATAATGAATTAATTTGACGTTATTTAAATCGGTTTGCTTTGCCGTGAACTAGAAATGTTAAGATGCTTACTTTTTATATCATCTATTTCTTGTACACCAGTGGTCGAATGGATAAAACCACTAAACACCGGTAGTTGGTCGCAGGTTGGAGCCTGACCAACGGACTAGCCATGTGGAGTTGTCTGGGTTTCTTCACGTGTCTAACACCTAAATAGAAACCAGTTTTCCATCCTCGTAGGCTTGAATTTCCATCCATAAGCGATAAGATTGGCTTTATGATAAGTTTTAAGGTAACGCAAAACATTGGCAATTTACCAACGGGAATTGCTTCCTGGGAGGAATTTTTTGTAAAACTGGTCCTTATTTAGATATTAGACACATGAAGGAAACCATAAAAGTCCACGTTGCCCGTTGGTGAGGCGCGAATCCGTGTCCAATTATCTGTGTTATTTAGTGGTTTTATCCTGGGCAATTCATAAAGGACAGAGGGAGCATGTCCCCCAATATTTTGGGGAAAATTGTACACTTTTTACAGTATGGTATATTTTTAATACCACTTTATAAAAAATTAGAAGTAGAAACAAGTGCTGCAGGTAAACCTAACTTTTTATATCCACTCAA